TAACTAAAATGACGATTTAACTAAGTAAAAGGCTTTCGCAGCATTCAAAAAAACTGAATGAATCAAAATCGTGTTACTAAATATACGCTAAATCATCAGGTCAAATTTCATTATGAACATTGCATGGTCCTTGGCGACTACTGTATACAGATAAGTTACTATAAGCCATGCAAATGCCTGAGAAGGGTCTAGAATGAACCTTAAGGGGACAATGAGAAGAACATGTTCCGTGAAAAGATCGATGAGCGCCATATTATCATAATTTATCTATGCATAAATGTGGAGTGGAACCGACAAAGAAAAGGGAGACCAGAATGGCCATTTCTGGCTTATTAGCCGGCATCAAAAATTCATACGCAATCCCAGGTGTGGATCGTCCGGGATCTGAATCCTGGACCTATGGTCATTGCGTGCAAAACTCCGCCACTGACGCACGGGCTCGTTGCTCTGTCGGTTGCGATCGGGACTATGATGGAAGTATGGTGCTCACCGATCTATCTCTTAAGGGAACATATTCGTCCCGTTGTGCCCGGAAGCCCGGTTCAGAGCAATCGAATGCAGTCGCTAAGTGACTGCCATGCGAGTCATGGTTTTCAGGCCCACAATCCATAACCAAGGGCACCGATTTGCCGTTCCCATACTGCGCACTGAGACATTGCCTAAGCAAAATAATCAGTTACGTGCGAAGAGCCGGACCCAGAAACAACTCTGACGACAGCGAACCTAATTGTCGCGCAATTATCAAGCCCGCATCCGGCACGGACAACGAAATCGCGGCAACTAGTGACTCGAAAGCGAAGTGTCAAGCTATCAGCGCACCAATTTAGACCCCAAGCGGTGGTTACAGGAGCTGATAATTATAGTACGCGTGCGGATGACCGCTACGAATTATAAATACCGCGCAATCGGGGCATGTATCACACCATTTTACAGTTACCTGTCATTAAGGATTCTTGGAAAAATCCAAAACGTCAGGAAAAAAATTACTATTCCATTGATCGCATCTTCTTCTTAACTGCTTCCTGAAGCCCGCATATTCGTTTCTATAGGCGAAGTTGCCACGGTTTTGACCTCGATGCCGTCGACGTTGATATGTGGAGCATTGTAATCAGCACCGGGCGACGGCTGATGCATGATCCCCGTTTCATCCTTGTTGATGATAAGACCGAAGTTTGCGCAACCTACGGCGAATAGTTCTATATCCTTTGCATGTCCGCTTCTGTTGTGATTTTGAGAGCGCAGTCGTTCGCAAAGAGCAGGTCATGGACTGTGGTCGTGGAGACGCGCGTGGGAGCTTGCATACGTCGAATGTTGAGAAGGTGCCCCTCCGTTCTGTAGTTGATGAGGATCCCGGGACGCTCGTCGCGGTAGACATCCATCAGCATGGCAGACAACATGAGACTGAAGCGGGTAGGCGCGAGGACACAGTCGCGCTTCACTCCAGTGGTCACTGCGAAGGCTTAGGAAACCATCCCGTTGTCTGTGACGCGCGCCATCACTCCGTCGTGGAGCTGGTGTAACATGTGGATGAACTACTCCGGACAGCCGAATTTCTGCATGACTTTCCATAGTCCTTCTCAATTCACCCTGTCAAAAGCTTTCGGCAGGTCCACGAACGTGGTGTAAATGTGGGTGCACATTTCCTGGCACTTCTCCTGCAGCTGTCGTGTGCCGAAGATCATGTCGGTAGTGCCGCGATGACGACGAAAACCACACTGGCTTTCTGGCAAAAGTTTTTGTTCCAGGTCGTTGTTGAAACTGTTTATTAGAACACGAGAGGAGATTTTGCCAGCGATATTGAGCAGCGAGGTTCCGCGATTATTGTCACAAAGTTGGCGGTTCCCCTTTCGCTTGTAGAGGTGGACAATTGTGGCGTCCTTGAAGTTCTGGGGGCCTTGCCCTTGACGCTGCATTTCCTGGAAGAGCCTGGTTAGGTTGGATGTAAGTTGGTAGCCGCCATATTTGTAGATCGCCGCATGGATCGCATCGGATCCGGATGCTTTTTCACTGGAGAGTTGCTGCAAGCCTTAGTAGTTTCCTGAGGAATGGGTGGGAGGTCGAGGTCAGTGTTGATTTCCACCTGATACAGACGGTTGAGAGCGGCTTCAGAGATAGTGGAGGGGCGCAGCGTTTCAGAATTATTTCATCTCAGTGAGTAGGGTAGTTCCATCAGCGCTGAGAAGAGTTGTGCCTTTGACTATGGGACCATATACAGCCTTGATCGCAGCAAATAAGGTCCTTTCATCCATTGCCTTGGATTTCCTCGCCCTTGCGAGCCATCCAAGCATCCTGTATTTCAGTAATAATGCTGAAAATTCGAGACAACTACCCGAAACGTCAAGCTTGTAATCAACATTTCCCGGTGGACGCTCCTCTTTCTTCTGATCCTGTATTTCCTTCAGCCGTTGTTGCACAAGACGGCGACTTTGGTAGAAGGCTGATTTCGTGGCTCTGTAGGCTTTGTGTAGGCAGTTCTTCTCGGCGAGCAGATGGCTGATGACTGCACCATTCTCGTTGAACCGGTCCTGGTGTTGGTGGCGTACGCGGCTAAGGACGCGTTGGACGATGGATTGAACAGTGTTCCGTAGTTGACGCCATCGATTCTCCACGGAGGCGTTCTCCTCCTGGAAGGTTGCCTAGCCATTGAGCCAGTTCATTGTTCAAATGCAAATGGTTAGCAGATAAATTTAACAAAATTGTATTTAGCCTGCATGGCAGTCGCTTACCTTGAGGTCTCCTGTGTGGTTGAAGGCGGATCCTAATCTCGGAGATGACGAGAAGATGATTGGTCTATCCGTCGGCACCCGAGATCTCCTTTGTCACCAGCATGTCCGGCTGGTCACGCCGCCGGATGAGGACGTAGTCCAGGAGGTGCCACTGCCTAGATCGTGGATGCATCCCGACGCCTTGTGCTGCAGCGGAAGGCGAAAGTATGTGTTGGTCAGGATGAGACGGTTCAGGAGGGGCAGGCCATTGTCACTGAATCTGCAGAGACCGTGGAGACCAAGCACTCCTCTCCAGGCAGTGTGGTCTGTGCCGACGCGAGCGTTGAAATCATCAAGGAAAATCAACCTGTCCGCCTTCAGCACAGTCATCAGAATGGCGTACAGTTCCTCGTATAACTTGTTCTTTGTCTAATCGGGCGACGTAGGCGCTAAAGATAGGAGCGAATTCGCTACTGTGAAGACGCAGGCGGAGGCTCATCAGGTGAA